CTGTTTGGAACTTACATATACATATACCTATTATCGAGTTCCTACTAGGTTTATCAAGCATGAAAAGGTTTACATGTTCACAGTTTGAAGCATAGAAGTATCTCATCTTCAATAAAACCTAGAAATGTCAGGTTGTTGTTAGGAATCACCTTGAGATCCACAAATGATGTGTTCCCTTTTTGATTCCCTTCATATGTGACATTTCCACTCTTTATTGATGATGTCTTATTGAAGCCATGAAACAACTAGAGTTACAAGCAATTGAAAACCAGAATGTGCATTAAAAACTCGACAAGAAAGATATTCACAATGGGATAGGAACTTGACTTACTAACTTCCTGTTCTGTAGAAATTTTACCTTTCGTGTTAGTATTATAAGTCAAAGTTCTTCCATTGTAGGTTTATAGAAAGAGATACCTTGATTTGGCTATCATCATCTCTTTTGGAACCTCGCTGTCGAGATAATGCGAGTTCCCTCCTATTATAAACCTTCGACTCTTCCATGTTCCTTTTGACATAAAGTTGGAACATGTCCTTCTGGTCCTTTAGACCATTGTATCTTGGGTAGAGGAACGTGTTGATTAAATCTCAAATTCTTCAACACCTTGTCAAAGTCCCTCATATTATCATTCAAAAGATATAACATGAAAGTTCACAACCCAAGAGATTCCTTTGTGCCTTTAAAATGTCAGTAGGTTAGTCAAAAGAGGTAGATAAAACCTAAAGCATAAAAGTGTTAAAACATAAAGTTCCTGTAAGAATACTCCCTTTTAGATGTCGTTCCATCAACGAAATGATGAATTTCTAACACGAAGTCAAATATAATCATCTTAGCTCATCATCCTTCATAAGAGTCTGCTACAGGAATTAATGCTTTGTTCCAAGGAACTTTGAATAATAAGAACTTAACTGGAACTTGAACAAGAATCTTTACAGGAACGTATACGCTAACTCCTATAGCACCTTGATATAGAAGCTTTGTTATTCCTGTATCCCTAATTCGTTTTATCATTCCAAGTTTACCAAGTTCCAACCAATTTAAGCACTGAGCTCCTAATGGAACAAACTTTTGCGCACCAATTTGTCTCAATGGACAAACCTACAAAACAATCATTAATAACTTGCACAAAGCTAGAAGAGAAGTTAGTTTGTCATGATATACATTATAAACATCCAAACAACTTCTCTTTTCATCCATTCACAAATAACCTTCATAATATTAGGGAATTGAATTTCAATAGGACTTTGTGAAGGATTAATACATACTAAAAGCACATGACCAATATTTACAGAGAGATGTATAGGCGACTTACACACTTATCCACTGTCGCTTCACCTACTACAAACCTCTTATAAAGGCTTTCTAGTGAGAGGAATTTGCACATAATTGCTTATATACAAACAACCAAAGATCATCATTATTAATAAGTTGTCTCCACTCACTTAGCCTGCAAAATCGGTCATCTTTTGGCTTTGGTTACCCAATTTATATTAGGTACCTTCATGTTAGTAATAGACATCAATAATCCATAATTAAAACAACTACGGTTAAACCAACTATCTTTACTAACAATAAACACCATGTGTCTACATAATAAATATTCAGAAAAACACATACACATGATAAGGTCATTCTTTGGCAAATATTCAAAATATACGTTCATTACCTTGCCCAAAGAATTAAGTTTCCATACAGGGGTAATCTAGGTTCCAAGAGACCAAATATGCATAATTCTACATAATACGTTCCTTGAACTATTTCCAGTAAACCGATTCTTTAAAAATAAATCAATTTGTAAATTTGACAAATACTTTTCACTCTATAAATCAGATTTGAGGTTACACAAAATTGATTTGCAAACTTTCAAAACAAAATCCAAAATTTAACTAGAAATACTACAAGGAACTTGTACACATATATAATCAAGACTTCAAAGACGAGACACTTACCTCAAAGATGTTCATCTTTGAATCAAATCTGCTTCACAAGCAGACTTTGGTCTTCACGTGGTATTGGGAACGTTCTAGGGTTGAGTTCCATTCGCTGCATTCCTTGTAGGTATCCATCCTAGCCTGGAACTTGCTCCTCGGGGTTGCCCGGTTTATCAAGAGCACCTGCTCTGATACCAATTGTTATTTCGGATGATATACTACAAGAGGGGGGGTGAATTGTAGTATGTTCCTAGTGCCTACTTTTCGCGGAACTTATGCGGAAATTAAAAACAAAACGTAAAGGAACTTAAAGCACACAACAAGTTTTACGAGGAAACCATCCAGTGCCTAACTGGAAGTAAAACCTCGGCCCTATTGGGACTTATAAACAAATTCCACTATAATAGGCAACTCTCCTAGTACAACCTATTACACTGACCTTTGCTTTGAAAGTTCCACCACGGACACTTGACTATATGATAGGACACCTCCTACCAGACCTAAGACACCTCTCAGGACCCTTTTTCTCCCTTTACCCAGGACACTTCCTAGGTGACCCAAGACACCTCTCAGGTTCCTTTCACTCACTGTGCAATCCAAGACACACCCACTCAGGGTGACTAACTACCACTCGAATTTTACGAGATTTCAAACTCATACACAAGCGTGAATTTAAGATAATTCACAATCTCACCCCAAAATACAAAACACTCAAAACCCTTTTTCCCATTACAAGATCTCATCGAATATCCCTAAATACATATCTATGAATAGAGAGATAAAACTAATATGTTGAACACTCAAGATCTGTCTGGAACTCACTAGACGTATTGTAACCAAAAACCTGATAGGAACTTTGACCAGGAGGACTGACTTAGCTTCGTGGTGAAGGATAAAACCATTAAGCACGACCACTACACTTCGTCAGCCTCAACTTTGAATGAATGCATATGAGCATATTTATAGTACACTCGAATTATTCATTTCATCTTGAAAAAGATAGATTTTCTGAAAAGATAAGTTTAAAAGATATTTTCTAAAAATCAGTTTTCCGAAAATATACCTTTTTGTTAAGAATAAAAACTGTCAATAATAATAAGATAAACTTAGCATAAAATCAGATTTTATTCAAAACTTATCTTTTTGTTTAAAATACTTTTTAAACAATCTTATCTTTTTCCAAAAGGGATTTATTAGAAGATAAATATCTTTATTCAGTAAAACCAAATCCCTAAAAGATATGCACGTATAAGGTAAATATATATATCATTAAAACCGACTTTTAACGACGTTCATACTTAAGTTCCTATTAGGTTCCTGAACTCTGACAGTCTCTGAGTTCCTGACAAGTCAGTTACTCTAATTTCATTGACTGTTTGGAATTCACCTTGGTTCTATATAGACTTGTTCCAGACCGACTTTTATGTCCAACATACTTACATGAATCCTAGAGCAATATACTTCTATTTCTCTGTCTTCATGTTGCTTCTCTGAAACTCTTGTTCTGGAATCCTGTAGTCTTGATATATTCTGGATCTTAGGGTTTTCCCCAGCATTACACCGAAACCAGGTCGTTACAACCCGTTTTGAAGTTCCTGTTAAGAAACTTCTGGAAGTTCCATTTCTGGAACTCTTCTTCTAAATTTACTTGTATCCTCATGGATCCTCTAAAGTTCCTCTGTTTCAATTCCTACTTCAGCCCTCAACGCTTACTGAACCTGCAAACATCACAACACTAGAAAATCCTTATTAAATGGAAGTTTGCTCAATTCTTAACATCATCATCAAAACCTCATAAGGATCAACAAGTTGTCCCTTTTTGATGATGACGAACTGAGCAAACTTCTGAGAATAACAAAGTAAAACAGAAGGTTAGTTTTTTATTTATAAAAACAATAAAGAAAACTAAACTAAATTAAAAGACTCCTACACATACATAACCTATATATGTATAGGATACTTACCTTATGAAGCTAACATATGTAAACACATGTTTACATAGTTACCTTCATGGTCCCTTAGCCATCATCATGCTTATCAACCATAACACTTATCGTTGTTCTTGTTCCTCTATTGCTTATCCTATATTGCTCAAGTTCCTTACATATATACCTGTCATTACTCAGGTTCCTTGTATCCTGTTCCAAGCATAATTTGCTTTTTCTATGCACAACTTAACATACACGTTAGATAGATAATCATCATTAGTTTATAATCATCAAAACCTAATTGCTCAACAATTGTTTTTAGAATTTTGGGTTTAATAGGGGAAAAAAAAGGGAAAACGATCGATGGAAAAGAGGAGGGAGAAAAAAGAGAACTTAGATGTGACTTTTTTTGCCGAGAAATAAAAAAAGTGAACGCCGGAAAATGGTCAAAGGACCCTCCTCACAACCTGAACATGATATAAGGACCTTTTGTGCCACTTTCTTTTCTTTTTATTTTATTTTATTTTATTTTATAAAAGGGTCTTTGTCACATAAAAGTCTACTTAAAAGGACCTTCCTCGCACATTTTCCTTTTTTTTTTTATATCTAAAGAATATCTTTAATATTAGTAAAGAACATCCAATTTTATTTAATGAACATTATTTAAATGTATTCACCATAATTTTAAGACAAAATTCATAAAATATTTCACATTAAGCAATGAAAGTTATTTCACAAATAAAAGTACATTTCAATGACAATAAAAACTATATGTTCGTTACATTTTAATACTCCGTAATATGTTCTTTACACTCTAGGTAATATGTTCATTACATTTTAATAGTATGTTCTTCCCGTGAAATGTTTGTACTTTGCAATGTACCCAGGCCTGTAGAAACCACACACTGGACTAGAGATCTGAGATAAGTAGTATGAGTAGTCTCTTGTTTTGTATGCTTACTTTGTTGTAAATAATAATAATAATAATAATAATAATAATAATAATAATAATAATAATATTCCTATTCCCCCACGCAACCACTGAAAGCCCAAGTTCTCAGCCACCGAAACCCCGAAACCCAGCCGCCGAAACCCCAAAATCGAAACCCTGAGAAAACGAGAAACAGGGGGAGGGGGAATCAGCGGCAAAAGGGGAGGGGGAATCACTGACGCAAAGGGGAGGGGGAATCCGCGGCGAAAGGGGGTCGAGGTTTGCGTGAGATGGTTGTTTTAAAGGGGGAATCCGCGGCTGGTGGTTTTGGGCTTGTTTTCGGCGACGGTGGGTGGTGCTGCGGGTGGTTTCGGGTGAAGGGAGTGAAATTGCGGGTGGTTTCGGGGGAAGAGAGTGAGGTAGCGAACGGATTCAGGGAAATTCGATGGTTTTCGGTGGGGTTGAAGAAGGAGGTGGTGGTTTCCGGTGGGTGCTAGGGTGGGAGGCGGTGGGGCTGCGGTGGGATGAAGGTGGCTGGGTTGGATTTTTTTTATTTTTAGTTTTTATTTTTAATTTTTTTGAGTAATAAGATTGCGACATGTGGCATTTAAGAAAATAAATAAAAAAAAGATACCTTTTAAATAGGTCACCAATCATTTGACCTAATGAAAGAAAATGCCCCCCAAAGTTGGGATTATTCAATAATAATCGAAAGTTGGGATTAATGAAAGAAAATCGGCGAAATTTGAGATTAATAATTACAAATTTTCCTAATAATTATAATAATAATAATAATAATCACGCTCGCACCAGCTTTGTCATTAGTCATTAGCTTGTAACGAACTTGGAAAAAAGTAGTTAACCAATGTCTCCAACAGACGCTAATATACTTCACTTTGTAACAGAAAATTAAAACTCTAACAAACTCTTTTCCTTGCCGCTCAAACTCAACAAATCAAATCTCTCAATTTCTTTCACTCTCCTCCATTTTTCTTCTCTCTCACAAAAACCCAGAAAACAAGCTAAGCTTTGAAGCTTCAACAATGTCGCTTCCCATTTTAAAGGCATGTAGGAAGAGAAAGAGAGCCCCAAAACTCTTTGGTCTCAACACTTTCTGCGATCCAGGTTGCCCAATTAAACCAACTGGAGCTTTTCGAGATAATATTAGGGTGTTTCTTCAAGAATGTGCTGAAATTGAAGACTACAAGATCGATTCCATGCTTGTTTGGTGTACTCTTCTTGTTCAAGAAAGTGGGGGTGTCGTTCTTCCTCTTTATACCATTGAAGAAAATGTCAAGAACTCAAAACAGCCCTTTTGTGATCATTGTCGTTGTTGTGGTAATTTCTTGATCTTATTATTAATTTTAATTGTATTTATTTCTTGGGAATGATGTTTTGTTGATTTCTTGATCTGGGTTTCTATTGTTTTTGATTTATTTTGATGGATTTTGGTTTATGAATGCTGCAAAATTTAGCTTCTGTAGCGCACAACAAGTGTTTGTTGATATGTTTGTGTGAAGATGGTTAATGAAACATGGAAATGGTTTGACTCACTGAATCTTGAAGGGATTTATGTTTTGATTCTTCTACTGTTTTAGCTTCTTCTTGTTCTTGAAACTGCTTCGCTGTTCTTTGATTTTCTTGTCCTGTAGAAAGTTTGTTCAAGCTGTATTATTGTTCAATGTAGTGTTATGGCATGACATTAAGGTCTGATTGTAGAAAGTATTCTCATATTGTGTTATGGTATGTTATCATTTCAAACAATAATGTCAATAGAGTACCTTCTACAAGAAACAAAATCTTTATTGCTGTTCTGTATTCCCAATCTATTTATACAAATCATAACGAGTGTATCCAACAGTGGGGCTTTCACTAAAATGCATCCCTAGCTCCTAGGACGTCTAAGCTGAAGTGTCTACCACAAAACAGAACTAATATGTGACTGACGAATGAAACCCAACTTGCTAAATCTCTGGCTTTTGACTTACTGTATATTTTTCTAACTTCTGATCGATGATGCTTCTATTACCACTCTCTCTCGAGTTTAAGGATGTGTAATAGGAGCTATATTCGACTTGAAGTAAAGATTATGGTGTTGAATACGAGGAGCTGACAGGATCTGTTTTTTAAATATGTCAGAAATCAAGCTAATAGGATCCTGTTTCTAAGGATCATATTTTCTTGATTTAAATGTGAGTGTTTTTTATGTTTTTTATTTATGTTGTGGAGAGGGGGAAGGTTATTGCTAAATATCACATTGGGGGTATTACTCTTCATTATCTTGATCTGCTGTAATATGAATCAGCTTTAACCAATATTTGAACTTTGAAGTATCATCACTATTTAGCTTATTGTAGACTCTAGAATAAATTTGCACCAACAGATCCTATAATTGTATTCATAGCTCATACTTGGGATATAGCACATCAGTCTAGGAAATAAGGTGGTGGGGTTTCTTTCCTGATGTTAACCACATATTCCAGTCTATCAATTTTTTGAACTGTTAGCCCTACTAGTTTGATGACAGATGAGGAGTTAATCGAAATATGACTAGATTTTTGTCTTGCCTACTGGAAATGCTAAGTTGTAAATAGTTCTGGATGCCAACTTGCCATCTATAAATTAAAATTTATCTAAAATGTTTATGCAGCATTTCTAAATTCTTCCTTGTGATAAATAATACATAGTACATGATAATAAATACGAAGTACTTAAAACACAGTGATGTTTCCTGAATCTAACCATATGTATATGTAACTAATTCCTCTGATATATTCACTTAGGATGGAGTCATCACTATATGTCAAAAAGGAATTATCATGTGATAATTCCCCTTGATTCAGAGTGGACCAAGTCACTTAATAGTGATGTCCTTGAGCTTCAAACACATCTTCTGCATGGGCTGATTCATTGCAATGGCTTTGGTCATCTAGTATGCATCAATGGGATTGAAGGAGGTTCCAAGTATCTTTGTGGAAGAGAGATAATGGATCTATGGGATCGGATCTGTACAAATCTTCATGTAAGGTAATAAAAATTGAATAACTTGATTATCTTTTTGCTGGACCTTATCATGTTGATACGATGCAGAACACAAACTGATGTGGGTAACATTCTGTTATTTAGAAAGATCTCAGTGGAAGATACCTCTAGAAAAAGGTCGATGGATCTTAGAATTCTCCACAGTGTTGCATACGGACACCCATGGTTTGGCAGATGGGGATACAGATTCTCCCATGGTAGCTTTGGGGTTAAAGCACACCACCACCAAAAAGCTGTAGAAGTTCTTAGCTCTCTTAACCTGGATGACCTGATTGGCAGTCTCCCAAAATCGAACAAGTCAGCACATGTAAAACAAATCATATACTCCTACAGAAATCTGAGTGAGACCCGTCTCATCACATTAAGAGATCTCCTCAAGTTCATGCTGACCCTGAAGTCCAAAACTCCAGTTAAAACTAAAGTAGCCTTGGCCCATGCTGCGTTTCCTGCTTCCTCACCTCAAATTGAAAAGTTCTCACCAAAAATTTCCATGTCAAAGAGGCAACTTAATACAAGAGCAAAGCCAATGGTGAAATGCAGGAAGTTTCAAGCTCTGGTAGCTACCATGGATAGCAGATGGCCCAAACGGAGACTAGAATTCACAGCTGAAGTTATAGTTAATGCCCTGAAGGAATATAGGGGAAATAAGTCCTCCAAGAAAGGAATGACTAGGCAGGAAGTCCGGGATGCTGCCAGAGCTCATATTGGAGATACAGGGCTGCTTGATTATGTCCTAAAATCCATGAATAATGTGATTGTGGGTGATTACATAGTTCGACGTCGGACTGACCCAGTGAGCAGGATTCTGGAGTACACCATCCATGAAGTTAGTGAAGCTTCACCTCCTAAGAAATCTAGCAGAGAAAAGGCATCTGTTGAACCTGTATTAGCACTCACTGAAGCCTCTGGAATAGACATATATCGAGATGTATGTATTTTATACAAACAGGTGATATTGGATCAGTCTGATTCAAATATTTTGGGCTTGTCTGTTAGAGTATTACTAGACAGCAAGCACTTCATGAAGGAATGGCCTTTCAAAGATGAAGATGACCAATTACTAAGATTCATATGCCAGGTGCTGCCAACTTCAAGTGAGTTAGAGATGGAACTATCTAAGAATCTTTCTCCTGGTGAAGTAATTGTTCTTCCATTACATGCCTCATTTGGTGACTTGAAAGTAGCAGTTCAACAAGCTTTTAGAGACACTTACTGCATCATGGAGCGATATACAGTGACTGACATTGAGGATTTGGGAAGTTTGTATGACAAAGAAGTAATCTTTGGCGCAGTACAATCAGGTTCTGTAGTTACAGTCAGAGGAAGCGGTATTGATTTGAAGAGTGAGTTCAGGTATGAGGGAGGACCTGACAATTGGACTGTCAGATGTTCGTGCGGAGCAACAGATGATGATGGAGAGAGAATGGTATCATGTGACATCTGTGAAGCGTGGCAACATACAAGATGCACAGGCATTGAGGATACAGAAGCAGTTCCCCCTCTTTTTGTGTGCCAGAATTGTTGCTCTTCACTGATGCCTCCTAGAGTTGAGAACATCTCTTATCCTGAAACCGAAACCTTCCATTATATAACATCGCCACAACCAGTTGAGGAACCGTGGATGACACTATCAGTGCCACAAGAAGTAGAGGAATCATGGATGACATTCTCATACTGATTTTTGTTTTTTTTGTAGTTAGATGGCAAATGCATATTCTTTCCTTTCTTTTCTGTATTGTTCTTGTATATTCTGGTCTATCTCCATTTTTTGTTTATACCTTTCTACTTGCTTAACTGTATGATTTGTATCATCAAGAATCTTTCATTCTTTCCCTCTATGAATTGTATCATAAAAACTCTTACAATCTTGAAAAGAATTCAGCTTCACAATATTACATGAGGAGTCTAAATGTGTCGAGATTCAAAAATTTGAAATATTTGCAGGAAAGTATAACAGCTGTGCAGCCGAAGTCCGTTTGGTATATTATCCATAGACCATAGTTTCTGCAAACCTATGCAACAATTTATTAGTCTTTTTGATGGACCTTGACCTGTTCGCAATTTCTAGCATACTCCTAGAGTACCATGCACACGGTACTCCAGGTTTTATAAAACTCATGTTATTTTAACGTTAACTTTTTGTTATTTCAAATTATATATATATGTTATTTTTAATTGCATGTAAGTTATTTCGTCATTTTTCTCATTCATCTTCCTCCCGCACTCTCTCTCTTCCTCTCAATTCCTCCAACTCAAAAACATACACTTTCTCTCTCCTTTCTTTTTCCAAATTTTTGGGTTTTCTAGGAATCAACCTCATTCTCAGATCACTCTCTTCCTCCCACTACTCCAACTCTAAATTGAACACACTTTCTTTCTCCCCTTTTCTTCTTCTAATCTTTTGTGTTTCTTAAAAATCAATTGATTTGAAGGTAATTTAGGAGTGTAAATGTGTTTATATCCAGAAATTTAGTATCTTCTAAATTGTTTGATTCTCTTCAAGATGCCTTAAAACTCAACACTGCTAATATTATTTTGATGTGAATTTATTATTATTTCAATTTATATATATATGTTATTTTTAAATAAGTACATGTTATTTAATGTAAATTAAAAATAGCATGAGTTGGGGATGAAGTAATAAATAAGTAAATAACATATTGTTGTAACCAAATAACTCAACATTTAAACAAAATAGCATAAAGTGTACGGAAAATAACTCAAATATATTGTGTAAGGAGTACCATGATCCATAATACTCCAAGTATATAATACTAATTGTGACCTGTTGGGGACTTATTTTTTAGGTTACAAGCCACACGTCAAATTTTAATAGGCTCATTTTATTTTTTAAATAATAAAAAAAAAACAAAAAACAAATACAAACAACAAAAAAAAAAACCCAACCACCAACCCCCACCATGAAACCCTAGCTCCTACCCTAGCCACAACCGAAAACTGGTCGGCCACCATCCTTAACCTTCGAAAACGGTCGGACAACACCCTTCCACCAGGTAAACGGTGGAATTTTCGCAGAAAGGTTTGGAATGTAGGTGTTTAAGGGGGATTTTCAGGGATGAGATGGGATATTCGGGGTGACTAAGGAGTGTGGGTGGGATTTTTCAAGGCTGTATTGGGGTTTTCAACAGTTTCCGGGAGCTGGGTGGCAGTTTCGGTGGGTTTTCGACGGCCGGATGGTTAATTAGAGGGGGTTTCGATGGCTAGGTGGGGTTTTCGGCGACTAGGTTGTGGGGTTATGGTGGCTTCGAGGGTGGGAATTGGGTTAGGGGGTGATTTTGGGATGGCTATTGGTCTTGGTGGGTTCCGACAGGCGTTTTTAAAAGTTAAGGCGGGTGGCTGTCGGCGGGTTTTGGTGGTGGTTGCTGGGGTAAGGGTTAGGCAGGTGCTGGTGGCTCCGTGGCTAGTGGTTTTTTTTAAAAATTTATTTTGACCAATTATTGAGTGACACGTGGCTTCAAAAAAAAATTTTAAAAAAATATTTTAACTTGTTTAACGGGTTATAGGTAAAAAAGTCTATTAAAAGAAGATAAGATACCAAGGTCGGAGATCACGCAAAGATGAGATTATTTATTTTCCTTTTTCCTATTCAAAAACCATATAACCATTATGCAATAGAATTAAAATTAGGAAAAGTTGGTGAAAATAATACCAACCACCACTTGCTTTACAAAAAGTAAAAATTGATAAGAATAATGCCAACTTTATCTCATTCGCCTAAAATAATCACAACTTTGGATTATTTTTTAATAATCTAAACTTTGATATTGATTTATTTCTTATTAGGGCTGGCAAACAGGTCGGGTCGAGTTCAGGTCGACCTGTTTAGATAAACAAGTCAGGACCCCCCAACCCGAACCCGACCTGTTTACTTAAACAGGTCAAAAAAGTCAACCTGAACCCGACCCGTCTAAACCTGTTTTTTTTTTTTGATAATAATTAATTAATTAATTTTTTTATTTTTTATTTAAATAACCTTGTAATTTGTTTACCCTGTATATTTTTTTAAATATAACTGTATCATTCAACTAACATAAAATACAAATTCAAAGCAAACATAATTCCATCGACATTTCAAAATAAAAATAAGTGTTGTTGTATAGTTTATTAGTTTATACAATCATAAAACAATAAAATTAAATATGATTAATTGGCTGGGTATTATCAAATAAATAATTAAGAAATAAAAGCAAAACAAGTGCTGCTGCATTCTCCATAGTTTGGTATCTTCATCATCTAATTCGGATTCGCAAGTTCATGGGTTCAGGAGAAATAGGGCTATCAGCTATCTGCCTCTGCCTATCTGTTGATTAAGAATAATTAGATAAATAATTAAGCCAAACGCAAATAGAAATCACAAAAAATGCAAAAATTAGCCAACAACATTCATGCATACCAAGTTTCCAACTCATGATGAAATAATCAACTCATAAACAAGCTGAAATATTCTCATAAACTCATGAAAAAATCAAATTAAATCGCATAAATAGATGATAAAAAAATCAATTAAAATCGCATAATCAAAGTGATGAAAAAATAGCATAAAATAAACTCATAAACAAACAAACTTCAATCAGATTAAAATAAGTAAATTGAAGAAATTGAAGAAACAAAACGCATAATAACATGTAAATTAAAGAAATTGAAGAAGAGAAAAAACGTATAAAAAACACAATAAAATTAAGTGAAGAGAATGAAATTAACAGGTAAATTACCTTGATAATGTTTAGATAAATATTTAATGAGCTTCAATCAACAGTTTCAATGGAAAAGAATTGAAAACAAGAGAGAGGAGAGAGAAAGAGAATGAGTAAAGAGTGAATGAAAATGAAAGAGGAGTGAAAACGACGTGAGGTAAGAAATTTTTTTAGGGTTTTTCATTTTGTTTCATTAGATAGTTTGGGCTTGGCCCATATTTAAAAATTAGGATGTAAAAATAGGGTAGGAAACAGGTTAGGCGGGTTGGGTTCGGGTTGACCCGACCTGAAACTGACCTAATTAATTAAATGGGTTTAGGCGGGTTGGTTTCAGTTTGAGATTTCCAACCTGAACCCGACCTGTTTAACTTCAGGTCGGGTTCGGGTTACCCAATTACATAAACGGGTTGAAAATTTCTCTCAAAATCCATTTAATTCGGGTTGGGTTCGGGTCGGGTCAGCTTTTGCCAGCCCTATTTCTTATGGTCCCAACCTATTATTCAACTTATTATAACAAGTTATCTAACACGTGTCAACATATGATTAGTAAAAAAAAAACAGAATTTTTTTTCCTAAAAAAAAATAATTAACTTCAAAACCACCTTATAGCCTTACACCCACCCATGCCACTGTCCAGCACACCAGCTGCCCAGCCCATGTCACCGTCCAATTAATCCTCGCTGCAACCCCAACCTTCCCTTTCCCCGCAACTGCATTTCGCAACCAATTAATCCTCACTCGCAAGTTGCAAACCCCTTCTGCAACCACGAAATCGAAAAAGGGGTGGAGGGTATGGGTAGTTCGTGGCTGCGGCTCGCGGGCAAGGTGAGGGTTCATACTCTTCGCAGTTATTGCCGCTTTAGTCGGCAAGGTTAAGGGTTTCGAATGGGTTCTTTGTTTGGCGACATGGATTCTAGGTAGAGAGTTCAAGGGGGGACTAACTAGTTGCGAAATGAAGTTGCGGGGAAAGGGAGGGTTGGTGTTGCAGCGGGGAAGGGGGCCTACGGCGAGAAGAGTCTAGGGGCAGGCCGGGTAGAGGCGGACACCGGCGGTGGTGAAGGGTAGGGAGGTTGGTTGCGGGTGGTTTTTCTTAAAATTATATTATAAGTAGTTAGTTTTAAATTAATTAGTTCATCCATCCACACACTAATTATTGTTGAACTTGCTTCAACTGATTTAATGAATTAGTTCTCCCGTGCCGGGGTTATCAAAAAAAAAAAAAAAATAGTTCATTGTTGATTAATACTAATGATCTGCCTAAAATAAAATATTACTCCGTACTTATAACATATTTTGAACTATTATGTTGTGACGGTGTAAATTAAATTTTTTTTTTAAAAAAAAAAAAAAACCCTTTTTAGGAGGTTACCGGTTATCTGGGACCGTTGAAAGTAAATTCATATTAAAGTTCGGATTATTTTATTGGGTGGATAAGACAAAGTTGAGATTATTTTTGTCAATTTTTCCTTTACAAAAATCAACTTTGCTTATATCTAAACTTCACTATAATTGATTTTAAAAAATGATTCTTTAATAACATTGACAAAATACAAATATAACATATTTATTTATTTCTTGTTTTGCAAATATATAATGAAATTAAAAATGGAATATAACGAATACATTGGATCAGGCAAATGAGTGAATTGATAAAATGGTTTTTAAAATTAACTAACTTTGAAATTATGAACTGTGTCTAATGGACATGATTAATAGAGAGATTCTAATGCACAAATTTTTTATTTTACTAGTTTTGTGCCCGTGCAATGCCCGGGTTGTTTATTAAATTTTAAGATATATTTTAATCTATTTGTCAAATTTTAAAACATATTATTGATACAAAGTTAGTTAAGAATTGACGTGTTTGTGTGACGATTTAAACTTGTAGACAAATAATGACTAAAAATAATAATATTGGTGAAAAACATTTTTTGTCCCTGCCTGAAATGACTCGTGACCCTACCTGATTGAAAGGTCTAAACACAATAATAAAATTATATTAGATTGTGAATTTTATTAATTTAATTGATTAGAATATACTATAAACCATGGATGTGGTACATTTTGAACTAATTCCTTCGCTCTAAAAAATATTACGATACAAA